AAACAGTCTGGCTGTGGTAGCCTTTTGATCACACATCTGAGTTACTGCCAGCTAGATATCTATCAGATCTCAAGTAGCTTACTCACACGCTTCATCCAGAGGCTGGTGAGATCCTTTCTAGCGTCCGGCTGTTCCTTGTTCATGAGTTTTTGGGGGAGAAGCTACTTTTAGATGGTACAGCTTCTCTGAACTCCCCCCTCCATACCTCCAGCCTCACCTCATGACCAAAGAGACTGCCTTCTGGGCAGTCCTAACTTATATAGCCCCTGTGACCTCATACACCTGGGCCCGTGGAGGCCAGCTCCAGTTGGCTGTCGGCCAACCCATTTGAAATACATCACTAGTTGCCAGGCAGATTCCAACCCACCAGGTAGAAGCCCCTTACCCAGGTAAGTGATGCAAGTCAGGTAGGCAGAGGGAGCAGGTTTCCCCCCTCCCTCAGGAATGCAGCCAGCTCAAATTACCTAAAGAGACAGGCTGAGGGTGTGGTCTCCTCTGCTGGGCCCACCCTAATCAATTCGTCACAGCACAGAGATTTAAATCACATTGTCACAGGGCAGAGATTTTGGGGAGAAACCAAGGTGGCTTTCTGCCACAGATGTTAGAAAGCCTAGGGCTCCCTGGAATACACACACAAACTCTCAAGACTACGCACACTTATGACTCAAATATGCTAAAATTTAACTGACAAAAGATCAAATACAAGACAGGTATTAAAAAGACCCACGCAGGAAACTGAGGGGCTTGAGTTAAATGTACTGGAATTAATATTATTTTAAACATCTGCAGTCAAAATGTGTTTTTAAATTTAAAAAAAAAAATGATCAGTGTAAGCATGTAATGAGCCTGCTTAGGTGAACTGGCAGGAAATTATCTGTAGGTTTTCCTCTTTCTTAACTTTTTCCTTCAGGGCCTTAATTAGGGCCCCCGTGACTCTTCTCCCAGTTGTCTCAATCTATCACATATTTGTAGAGTTTTCTTGTTTCCCTTTTTATAAATACTCCCCCCTAGTCCATGTGCATTTTCCTTATTCTTCATAGAACACTTTGTGGGTGTATTTGTGGTACAAAGGTGCCAAGAACCGGACTCCAAATTTGGCTGAACAAGAGCCATATAGATAACATCCCTGTTGTGTGGTAGACACAAGGGTTTTTTAAAAAAGGTTATGTATTAATTAATCCAACTTGTCAAATACAGGTTTAACATTTAAAGACATATCCAATCCCCTAAAATATAGTTAAAGACGGGTGTTTATCTTCTATCAACAGTGTTGCCATAACCCAAATCAAAGTCCACAGAAGTCTTGTTTCCGTCTTTCTTTCAGTCTCTGACAGCTCCTTTATATTTCCATCAGTGTTGATCTTTTGTGCTTCTCTATATAATAATTCACCTCCTCCTTTTCCCTAGAACTCTGCATAATACAAATCCCATTATCTTTTATTCATCTCTGCTTTTAAATTTTAAATGTATTCTTAAGCATTAGCTCATAGAACTCACACTGAATTCAAAGATGTTTTTCAAATTTTCCAGTTTAGAGGCACGAGGACGTTTTTATCAGATTCCAAAAATTTCCACCGGATTCCCAAGTCCACATCTTTTTGTCTTTTTTCCTGTAGACCCCTGACTTGATAGGACATCTTTGCTGTTACTAAAACTTCCCAAACTTTAAAAAAAACAGTCAGCGGTTGCACCCGTGCCACTTTTCTTCCAGCCTTTGGCAAAGGTCATTCTTGTGGTTGCTAATAGATGAGTGATGATCAACTCCCTGTGACCCTGGCGGCTGGTAGGAAGGTCCCCCGGGACTAAGGGGTTAGCGGGGAGCTTGTCCTCCCCACATCTGCCACCTTTACATTCTGGGCCACATCCACCACCCCCGGGAGAAGGGAGGTTATGTGTGTGTATGTGGTGGTGGTGGGGTGACATTTTTTATTCGAGGAACTTCCCCGTGGCATCGCTCCTGCCTCACGGGGCCACTCCAGCGCTGGGGGGGGGGGGGGGTT